TACATTATCTTATTCCACAAACAATCTTGTAAATTATGTATTGATTCTTCTTCATCAATATATATTTTAAATTTGGAAAGTTTTGTATGTTTGTATTCATCCCCCCCCCCCCCTTCTACAAACTGTTTCTAAAAATCTTGTAGACCCTAACTAGACCAACAATTTTCAAATATTTCATTTAATTAAATGTCTTTTAAATATGTATCAAATAAAAAAATTATAATATACTTATTTTTTTTATAAACATCATCTTAAAATTATCGAATGAAAATAAATAACCAATTACCAACTACACATTTTCATTGTTTTGTACTAAACAAAATGTTTATCTGTATTTCTTTACTTTTGAGAAAATACAGTTTTTTATTTCAGATATAATTTAATTATTAAACTATGTTTGAAATTAAGTAGATTATTTATTAAACTATATATTCTAATTAAATGTTATATTATAAAGTCTTTTATCTAATACATATTTAAAAATATTTAATTAAATAAAATATACAAAAAATAATACAATTTTTATCGATAAACATAGATAAATTTTCATTTTTATCTTACAAAAACTAAGAAAAAAACAATACATTTTTCAAACCTAGCTCAAAATAAAAATGCTCTTTTAGATTAAATTGAACGGATTTACATATATATACCGGATAAATTGCATAAGAATTAAAAAGCATTCAATACTTGATTCATTTTAAAGATATCGATAAACTTTTTCTAAAATTGTAATTTACAAAATAAAATATGAATTTTTAATATATTTTTAGTTAAAATTATCATAATATGACAATGGTAGAAAATGGAAAATGAGAAGGTAGAAAAGATAAAAAGATAAACCACAAGGACAAAAATTGTAATTTACTGAGTAATCTACTAAAACAAGAAAGAAAAAAGATTAAGAAAGGTTAATTAACCTTTCAACTAAAGCTAGTCAGAATGATTAAAATGAAACAAAATGGCAACCATAGTGACCAAAATTGTGATTCATTTAAAAAATGGACCAATTTTGATGATGAGTGGCAACCACAATGACCAAAAATGTTTTTTACTCTAGTTATATTTACCAACTAAGATGTATTTATATGGATAAACTACATATTACTACTCAGATTACTTATGCTACCACCCAACGCGCGGTTTTCACTAGTACTTATCATATTGAGAAACTCCTAAAAGGAGATTTTGTTTATTCAAAATATTAGGATCAAATACTTCAAACTCTAAAAGACTAAAGACTTTTTTAATCTACAAACCATGAACGCAATGTAGTTCTCGATCATTATTTCCATGGAGATTTAATTAGAGAACTAACAGTCTTAATGGATATTGTTGACAATCGATCGTCAGATCAATGATCTAGGTAAGGCTAGGGGAGCACATAAACCCCGAGCCATCTGATACATAATTGAGTTGCAAAATCTTCAAATTATAGTTATTTGGTTGGAACTGGGTTACGGTCATTCAAACCCACCCCAACTCAGCTTGATAAACCCGATACCCTTCTTTTCCTAGGATTTAATATGATTGTTAAATCCCTTATTAGTATGTACATTAGATCGTTAGTTAATCACCCTTTTCATACACATATATTTTAAATATCTCCTTTGTCGCTATATAACTCCTGCATTTCTTTTCGTATATCTGCAAATTATGAAAATTGAAAAGCAGTGAATGTGATATACTTAAGGAATATGAATAAACTATACCGATAAATTGATGATGAATAAATGAATTATGAGTAGAGAAAGTACCATATCCACGGTAACAAGCATAAGGGAATTTTTTATGTATCAAAATTTCAAGCCGGCTAACCCATGCGGTTTGTATTAGATTGGTTTGAGATTTTTCCAACTCGTAAATATTGAGTTGGATTGTTCAAGCCCTCCAACAGAACCCGTGTTCACTGTCATAATGGCAATTATATTTCATCGAATAAAAGGTACTAATTAGCATTCCATGGCCTCCATTTAGCAGGTGGTGGACCCCATCTTCGCCAACATGATTAATGGTTGTTATATTTTCTATTATATTTCTATAATTAGTTGCAATGTGTCAACCGATATCAATGTTCTCCACCATTTTATAAAAACTTCAAAAATCTTATGATGGTCTATTCTTGTTGCTTCAATGAATGAGCCGTTTGAGTTTCCATCATCGTTTTCAGTAACCACTACTTCAGAAAGTTTTATTTTTAGAAAATAAGTTGAAGAAAAAGTGACAAGATAATATAAACAACAACATTTTAACACACATGATACGCATGACTAATGTTAACGAATTTATGTGTTTAATTTAATGAAGTTGTGGACTAAAATGTCAAGAATAGGTATTTTAGACCAATATGAAAACAATTACGTTTTGCGTCTCAAAATAAATATTAATATTTATGTTTATTTTTATCTAAAATAAGTGTTTTTATCTAAAATAAGTGTCGAGTTTCAAAAATAGACAACTAAATTATTAAACTCTCTAATCCATCCTTACAAATTGGAAAGAGAGATAAATTAATCAAGATAAAGTTGTCATTTACTTAACTATAAAGTTTACTAATTATGCGTGTGTGAAACTATATCTTCCATTTGTATCTAGGACTCTTAAGTAGCGTTTAGTACACAGACTGGATGGACTAGACAAGACGAGACTAATTGTCTATCCTACCAATACTTCTAGAACAAGACTAGATTAATTGTCTATTTTGCGTCTGGTAAGCTGGACAGAACAAGATAAAACTGTTAAGATGACCAAATTACCCTTAATATTGTGTAATCTTATTTTATATCATATAATAATAATAAACGACAAAAATCAACCAAAATATATTCATATAATTTTATCTATAATATTTATAAAATTATTTTTATACTGTCTTTTAAATTTGTATACATGATTTAAGAACATTTTAACACAACAATTCCGATTCAGTCTCAATATCTGCTTCTTGTTCTTGGGCTTTATCATCATCTACTACGTTTGCTTCTTCCCCGGTCCCTATTCGGTCGTATTTCTCTACGTGGTATGCAAATGTTGAGACGAATACACATATTGGATAATTGAGATAAGAATGGGGTAGTTCCAATTGAAAAGAAATCCATAAACACATCTTGAACTGCTTTCACCTTTAGAGACACCACTAAGAATATGACTATGAAAAGACTCAGATGGTATGAGAGGCATGAAAAGTCCACATTAACACAAAAAAACTAGAACATAATGGAATTTGATGTCATAAAAAAACTAGAACACCATGGAAATAGAAGTCGGACATCATGAAAATCGAAATTTTCTCTCATAGAAACTATAACACCATGGAAATTAAGAATATGGAAATCGAAATTGGAGAAGATGAGAAATCCAAATTGAAGAAGACGAGAAATAGTACCTGGAGAGATCAAGTTGAGGAAAAAGTGTGGAAGAGGTCTAGAAGAAATCGTGAGATGGAGATTAGAGGCGATGATTTTAATTTAGGTTTAGATACCTGATGTTATAAAGAAGGTATTTTAGTAATCTTCTGATTTAGTCCCATGTTGTTGCACCTATTTTGATGGTACAAAAAATCTTAAGTTTTTTTCCATGAAAACTTGTTTTTGTCTTATCTGATTTTTGTCCCATGGATAATGGGATTATTTTCCTTTTCCGTCTCATCTAGTTTATGTGTTTGCATACCAAACACTCCTTGTTGATAAAACTGAAGATTAACCAACAATTAAGGTGACATTTGGTTCAAAAAATGTTTTTAGATTGAATGAAATATATTAAAGAAATTTGACTTTGAATGAATTGGAATGAAATGTTGTTAGATTTGACCACTTGTTTGGTTGACATACATTGGAATGTAATCTGTTAAGAAATTGAAATCTGTTTGTTTGGTGCACATAATATAGCTTTGAAATTGAAATGAAATATTGGTAAATGACCAAATTGCCTTTTATTTTGAAAATTTTAATTTTTTTTAAAACTAAAAATACTTTTATAAAATAATTATTTAATATGTAAAACAATATAAAACACTTAATCGAAATATAACTGTAAACAAAACGACGTTACTAAATCAATGGTGGTTAGCGGTGGTTCATATTGGTGGCGGTCCGCATTGATTCAGATGGCGGTAGTCGACAGTGGTTCGGATCGATGGTGGTCCGCGGTGGCTCAGATGGAGGTGGTCAGCAGTGATTCAGATGGACGGTGGTGGTGGTGGTTGTTCAAATTGGTGGTGGTCGATGGTGTTTGGCGGTGATTCACATCGGTGGTAGTCGCTGGTGGTTGACAGTAGTTCAGATCGGTGGTGGTCCATGGTGCTTCAGGTGGCAGTGGTCAGATGTGGTTCAGATCGACGGTGGTTCAGATCGGGGTGATTCAGATCGACGGTGGCCGGTTGTGATTCAGATCGATAGTAGTTGGCGGTAGTTTAGATCGATGGTGGTCCGTGGTAGTTCAGATGGTTATGGTCGATAATGGTTCAGATCGGTGGTGATCCATGGTGGTTCAGATGGCGGTAATCGGTGGTTCAGATCGACGGTGGATCAGATCAGTGGTGGGTTAGATCGGTAGTGGTCGGTGGTGGTTCAGATCGATGGTGGTTGGCGGTAGTCGACGGTGGTTCACATGGTGGTGGTCGGCTGATTCAAATCGACGATAGTAGAAGGTGGTCGACGATGGTCATATTAAAATTTTATGAGATTATGGTATATTGGGTTAAAGATATATATGGTATTATAAAAATAGAGAATTCTATTCCACTAAAATACCGTATAGTTATTAAAAAATGTTAAATTTATTTATTTATGAAATTTATAATTTTAAAGATGTCTTTCAAGGAAAATAATTAAATCGAGAGAATGAAATTTGGTAGAATTCAGAGTTCGAATTCCGTAACAATGTGATTTTGTAATTTATTCGTTTTCTATTTACATTTCTACAGAGAGGAGGTCCGAAAGCTCCCTAAAGCAATGTTCGCAATGGTTTTTTACATAGAGAGAGCAGGAGAAACGGCCCTCGGAGAGATAGGGTGTTAATGGGGTTTTAGAGAGAGAGATTCTCCTTTCGTTCGGCCCCGTTGATACTGCCCGCTACCGGACTTAGAGAAAGAGAGGGGAAGCAGTCAACAAAAAACTTCCATTTTTGGATTTTCTTCTCACGTCCTTCGATTATTTTGGGTGGCACAATCACGTTAAGTCTGAGAGGATCTAAGGTATTCATCCGTGAAGTAAATCCGAAAAGGGTTTAGGGTGAAATTGAAGCTATGATGTTGATCAGTAATGCAAATTGGTGAAAACCCGAGCTCAGATCTAGATAATAAAGGCTTTTAATTGGTGAAAGATGGATGTTGATTCATCAATGGAGTCTGATCACGATATTAGTAATACTGCCAGTGGTAATGACCCTGCGTCCGAGGAGCAGCCAGAGGAGTCTCCGGTCGTGGTGGAGAAGGATTCTGGAGGAGCTTCGTCGCAAGTTGAGCAGCTAGAGGAGGTTCAGCAGACGACTGGTGGTCCGAGGCATGCGCCCACTTACTCTGTGGTGAAGACTATATTAGAGAAGAAGGAAGATGGCCCTGGTCCTAGGTGTGGACACACCTTGACAGCTGTTGCAGCGGTTGGGGAGGAAGGGACACCAAATTACATCGGACCGAGGCTTATACTATTTGGTGGTGCAACAGCTCTTGAAGGCAACTCTGCTAACGCTGGTACTCCGACCTCTGCTGGAGGCGCTGGGATACGTATGTTAATGGCTCAATCTCTTTGACGAAAACTTCCAATTTTGTGTATATTTTTTATTTTCACATTGGTTATGTTGTAGGTAGTACATTGTACATCAGTGTCAATTGATTGAAGTTCCTCTATACATTTTTCTACCAGACACATAAGTAGAATGAACTGGATTAGTCTGCTACTATGTATATATAGCAATCAAGTGCCATAAAAAGAAAATATTTTTCTGATTCTAGTGCAAAGAAAGCACATGCTGATTGCTAGTAACCCAAAAGTTAACTAGCAGGAATACATTTGTTTTTAGGACAAATTAAGACCCTGCAGTCCTTATTCTTTTCTTTCTACATATTCTGAGTAAATTGCTAATGCTTCACGTTATATGATTTTGTTACTAGTGATATATTTGCTTTCCTAGAAAATAACTTACTTACTGTCTAATAAAATAAACCTGAAAGCCAATTTTGACTTTTCTTGATATCACAGGTCTGTCAGGTGCTACTGCTGATGTGCACTGCTATGATGTATTGACAAATAAATGGTCCAGGTGATCAGTTCTTAACAGATATTTCAAAATCCTTCCCAAACTTATATAATGTTTCCTCCCAAGTCAAAGTGCCTATCCTCTAAATATCACAATGATTTTTCTGAAACATGTTGCAGAATAACTCCCTTAGGAGAACCACCTACACCAAGGGCAGCCCACGTGGCAACAGCTGTTGGTACAATGGTGGTTGTTCAGGTTTGATAATTCAATTTGGTATTTCAAAAGCTTGCATGTTTGCGGTTACTCTCTTTAGCCACTCCCTCTGTTAAATTATTTACAACTCAAATCAATGCGATTGTTCAATCAAATGCAGGGTGGAATTGGTCCGGCAGGTTTATCTGCGGAGGATCTTCATGTTCTTGACCTAACCCAGCAACGACCCAGATGGCATAGGTTTGAATTTTGAAGGATGTTATTGTTGACTTGTACGTATCCATATATCTTAGAAGTTATAGCTGTGCAAACTCAGTAAAAGAATGCTAGTTTCTTGTAGAGTGGTGGTCCAAGGTCCAGGTCCAGGCCCACGATACGGTCATGTCATGGCTCTAGTAGGGCAAAGATATCTTATGGCAATTGGTGGAAATGATGGTCAGCCTCTTCCAATGTACTCTTCCACTTACAATACATATTCGTTTTAAACAATGTTTAGACATGAATAGATACTCCTGTTTGATGACCAGGAAAGCGGCCTCTTGCTGATGTATGGGCCTTGGATACAGCTGCGAAGCCGTATGAATGGCGGAAGTTGGAACCTGAGGGAGAGGGTCCACTACCATGCATGTATGAATGAATGGCATACCCGTTTCTCTGTAGCATTCATTTGTTTCCTTTTCCATTGTTCATTTATGGTTGCCTGTGCCACTTCATTCGGACTACACATTATTCTTATCAACAAGTAAAGAGAAATAGTAATTATGCTTGTGTCTCTTTAGTTGGTCATGCTTGAATGATTTTGGCCTTCAATCCTTGATTTATAAGTTGAGTACAATTTGTAGTTCCTAGCATACTCTCCCTTTCAAAGGTTGTTGCTCCATTTACTTTCGTGATGCCAAATGTCACTCCTATAATTCCATTTACCGACACCTGTTATTACACGCACCGCAAATGTTATTTCTTTATCCATTTTGCTGTATGGGCCATCCTCCCTTATCCTTTAGCCTTAAAGACAGGGAAACGTATGGTAATGTCTCTTGGTAGTTTATGCTTGTAGATTATTTACGTTACATGTCTTACCTTAATTGAATAAAATTATATGGAAAGTTTAGCCTGTGAGTTCTGTGACTTGCTTGATGAATTTGTCACTATACGTACCCGCTATAAAGGGGGAATATGTTTCCACAGGCAAGTAATGTAATTTAATTCCTATAGAGTACATGGATGTCTAGTAGGAGTCAAAGTATAGATGCACAGTTTCCTGGTGAATTTACTATTCAGATTGCTGAAACAAGAATGCCCCTATGCCATCGGATCGTTCTTATATGTTTTCTTTTTTCTAGTTTCTCTTTGTTTTTCTTACTCAACATTTGTCTATTGTGAATGGATGAGGATGTTGGTGGATGGCCAACTTTTATTTAGTTTACAGCAGAAGATTTTCATTCTGATCTCATTTGATTGTTACACCTCTGATGTAGGTATGCCACCGCAAGTGCACGCTCGGATGGTCTTCTTTTGCTTTGTGGAGGGCGGGATGTAAATAGTGTGGTGAGTAACATGTTTGATTGCACACTATTCAATTTTGAGACACAGGTTTCATCTTACACTGGATTTTGTCGTGCTTTTGCTTCTCATGAAGCACCAGTAATTTCCCATTCTGAAGCTTGCCTTGATCTTCTCATGGTACTGTTAACTGTTATTTGAATTGCTTATCCTTCTCTGTTGGTTTACCTTGTATGTAAGTTGGTTTGGTAGCATGTCAAGCCTCCGGTTTCTTAAACGCTTCTATTCTGCTTGAGTTCTTGTTGTTGAGCGTTTCTGACATAAATATTGGTTAACTACATAAATAGATTTCGAAGGAAAGTGTATCGATTGCTAATGCTCTTATTCTTCAAGGTGTTTGGCTTTTTGATTACCGACTGCTGCAGTTCAGTTCATCCACCTTTTCAGTAGTTTCAATGCATGCATGTGCACCTTGACTATAGGTTCTATGTAAGATAGTTATTTTAGTTGTTAAGCAAGCAATTACTATTTAAATACCCTATCGCAATCCAAAAACCACTTGGATAACAAACAGAAAATGAATTACATGTGCTTTAGACGGATTAGTATGCTAGTTCAAGCATTATTATGATTTCGTGTGGTTTGTCAATTATGATATTCTTATGTATTTTCCTTTTGTTTCTGTTTTTTTCTTACACTTGGGTAAATTTGTCACTCTCTGAAGGGATTCATATATCCGATATCATAAATTTATATTTACAAGGGGAACAAGATCAGATATGACTAGCAAACTCTTTGATTGAGGCATTTACTGTAGTATAAGTTTTTGCACTCAAATAGAAAAACCCTCACATGTAAAAAGAAAAGAGACATGAACTTGTACTTGAGCAAATTAGGATGACCTTAGCTTATGATGCTTTGGACTATAAAGTGTTCCAAGTACGAGATCCATTTCACAGAAGTGATTTGAGTTTCTTTGAAGATTTTGATGAAGAAAATGATAAAAGCTGAGAGAGAGAGAGAGAGGGAAAGAGAGAGAGAGAGAATGAGGATTGGGGTTGTGCTATGAGGATTTTACCTTCCAGATAATGAATATTATCTTCCACTGCCTGCTCTTACTGCAAATGTCTCAACAATTTTATATATGTATATGCTAGGCACATGTGAGTGATACGTGTATTATTTTGGACTATTTGATAGACTGAACCTTTACACAGCTCTAGCTGTAATATGTACATTTTTTTGTTTTTCTGATGAACAGATATTTTAGTATGTATAGACACCTATGTTTTGTATTCTTGAAAGTGGTTCAGTTGGAAGTTTAAGACATGGACATATAGTGAAGGAGGTGATAAGTTAGTGGTTTTTGTTTCATTTTGGGAGTTCATTAAATTTGAGTGTTGTCCTCTGCCCACATATTATAAAAGGATGAAAAATAAAAAGGAAAGGTAGTGTATTCACTGGTCTTTCTTTACCTAGTTTTCTAAAAATCCCCACTCACGGCGGCTTAAGTGGCTTCCTAGGCGTCAAGTGTCCCCTCATTGCTTCAATTAGTTATGTCCCTTGCACCTAGGAATTGAGTCTCTGACTGCTTCAGTTAGCAACTAATCACCGAATTAAGTGTTTCAAAAGATTAAGCAAGACAGTAATCTGACTTTTATCAATTTGTCTCATCAAGCAACTATGCAGCATCTGAAAGAAATTTCAAATCCTTTCTGCGTAATTGTATTGGTGGAAGAACGAAACAAGTCATTACAAAATATGAAACACTTAGTTGTATCTTATATATTTAATTGAACCACTTAGACATCCTAAGCATCCAGTTAAACCCTGCTTAGGCAATAAAATGATCACCTAGCTCCACCTAACACATTTTAGAACACTATGTTGATCCCCTCCCAATTAAAGTTTTCCAGGAAAATAGTGGTCCCTTCTTTCACCATGATGTTTATATGACTTGCTTTCTGTACTCCTGTCTACAGCCTCTGGCGAGTGCATATGGACTTGCAAAACACAGAGATGGTCGCTGGGAATGGGCCATTGCTCCTGGTGTCTCACCGTCTTCTCGTTATCAACATGCAGCAGTGGGTTTTCTATCTGAAGATTATTACCATCGACCCTTTTTCTCTCTCACACACCAGGCACACACACAACATAGACATGGAGAACAGAGTATTTCTAAATGTCTTCATTTTACATCCTGCTGGTTTCTAGGTTTTTGTAAATGCTCGGTTACACGTATCTGGGGGTGCACTTGGTGGTGGACGCATGGTGGAGGACTCATCAAGTGTGGCAGGTAGGATTTGATGTTACTTCTAACCCTATGTTGTTGAAATAAAGCAAATCTGGTGATCCAATAATTATGCAAAAAGGGTTTTATGCTCTCCTCTGGACGTCCCACTGTACCGGTCCCTTTGGTGATCCAATAATGTCTTTCATAGATTGTCATTAAGCATTTTAAGCAAGTGGCATTTTGTTGAACTACTCCAAATTGCCACCTTCGGATGACAAGAAGAAAGCACTCACTGTTTATGTTCTGTTTGGGATACATAAGAGATCCACAAATCATATTTTTTACAATTTCCACTGTCATTTAATTTGCATTAATAGGATTTATTTCTGTATGTGCTCCTTTGGCACAATTCTCACCACTTGTTTTTTTAATATCTCTCGTCCATATAGTTCTGGATACTGCAGCAGGAGTCTGGTGTGATACAAAATCTGTCGTCACTACTCCACGGACAGGCAGATATAGTGCTGATGCCGCTGGTGGAGATGCTGCAGTTGAATTGACAAGGCGTTGCAGGCATGCTGCTGCTGCTGTTGGTGATCTAATATACATCTATGGTGGTTTGCGTGGGGGTAATACTTGATCCTACACTGTATAGTCTGTTAGTTTATCGTGCTAGGAAGACTTGTTTACAAATTTTTTGTAATTGATTGGAAATAACTTTATTTTCTATAGGTTACCATGGTGAACTTGACTTCACATGAGAATTTCAAAGAATCTTAATATACACAATTCTATAATTCAAGTTTGTCTCCGAAACCAAGAATTGGATTTTAGTCAGAAGCTGTAGGGCTAAAGAATTGGATTCACATAACAAACTGAGGAGGGATCTTCACTTTTCACAGGTTGAGCTAGAAGCTCATATACGTTGGAGCTTCTGCTGCCTGGCTGTATGAGCTTTCTTGCTGTATAGCTAATGCTTTTCTAGAGGTTTTGTATTTTTGAAAGAAATATTGAGAAGGAAGGTGTTACACTTTTTCTCTTTTCGTAGCATCCTTAGATTTCTTTCGCAGAGTCGATGGGAAACATCTTCTCTGCAGCAATAGAAGTTTGAAGGATTGAACATTGAATTTTAATTTACTTCCAATTGCAAGTAGTTTGGGGATTTAGATGAGTAACAACAACTTGATAGAATTATCATGTATCTGTTAAGTAATTTGGTCAAACAGTGTAATTAAGTCTCAAGTTTTGGCTGCACATGGTTTTGACTGTGTAGGCTTATTGGAACCTTTGGAGTGGATTGCATTTGTGTGCCTGTAGGCCATGAGACAGAGGAAAAGATAACAGCTTGTGGTCTTTAAATAATTTAATATCTACAAGTAACTTCATTTGTCTTTTTAGAAATAAACATATCAGACATTTATATGTAGACTACCATTGTTACTTCCAAAGACTCTAGCTTATGTTAAATTGGCATTAGAGTTGTGGTTAGGGCGGTCTACAAGAACAATGTCTACTTGTTGAAGTCTGTGAAGTCATAGTGCCTATAATTAAATTGCAAGGTTGCTGCTGGATATTGTTGATTTTGATTTAGGACTTTGGGTGTTGTTAGCTACCCAAGCTAGATGCGATAATTAATAGCATTTTGAAAACTTGAATTTTCTCAACAGCTGGTTTTTTGCAGACTATTTGAAGGTCTATTCTACATAGGTGATCAGAGTTGAATATCGTTTCGCGTGCAGGACTTGGTGATAGTGGCATAATTTACCTATTTCATTGTATATCCAAGTTCTATGGGCTTTGATTCAAATTTCTAGGTTTCAATTTAATGTCATGATGTCAATCCATCTGAACTCATATTTGGTGTGCATGCTTATTATTTTTGGTTTCCCTCGGTATACTTGTTATTAATTGTGTTATTGTTTTCCAATACATTGAAATGTTGTGATTGCCAAAATATGAATTACTGAATAGTAGTCAGCACCAAGGTGCCATTGTTGAATCAATCATTTAATAGTTAATACAATGCCTAAATATTTTCTGTGGTGTTTTTCTGATACAGGGGTTTTGCTCGATGATCTTTTAGTTGCTAAAGATATAGCTTCTACTGAAATGACATCTGCAGCCACATCCAATACACAGGTAGGGAGGTTAGCAGGAAGGTATGGGTTTGTTGATGATCGAACAAGGCAGGCACTTCCCAAAGAATCTCCTGATGGTGCAGTTGTAGTGGGGAATCCTGTTGCTCCACCGGTAAATGGTGACATGTATACAGATATCAGCACAGAAAATGCTATGCTTCAAGGCTCTCGGTAGATTTTGCAATCTCAATCTTGCTTTATGTTAGTTTGTTGTACAGTGTACTCATGGTTTTCTAAGCAGGAGACTTAGCAAGGGAGTTGAATACTTGGTTGAGGCATCAGCAGCAGAAGCTGAGGCCATTACTGCAACCCTTGCTGCTGCAAAAGCGCGACATTCCAATGGAGAAGTTGAACTTCTAGATAGGGATCGTGGAGCAGAGGCTACTCCAAGTGGAAAACAAATATCTACCTTGATAAAGCCGGAAACTGATGTTGAAGGAAATTCTGCTCCAGCTGGAATACGATTACATCACCGAGCTGTCAGTATCATGGCCTTATTTGTTTCAGTTCTTTTCAGCTCTTTTTTTCTTTTCTTATTGAAGTTGAATGTTTTCATGGACGTGCAGGTGGTAATAGCTGCAGAGCCTGGTGGAGCGTTAGGTGGCATGGTCAGGCAACTTTCAATAGATCAATTTGAAAATGAAGGGAGGAGGGTTGGATATGGAACACCAGAAAATGTAACTGCCGCAAGGAAACTTTTAGATCGCCAGATGTCAATTAACAGTGTGGCCAAAAAGGTAGAGTTAATTGTGACCATGTGTTATGAAATTTGCATCATGATACAACTGTTTGTGTATTTGTCTTATTCATTATATTGCTATGTTGCTGACAAAATTTAGTTAAGACAAGGTTTTGATGTTTTGAGTTGCTAGTGCGGTTGGTATTTCCATAGGAGGACATAATAATGTTGCAACGTTTTCCCAAAAGTTGTGTGCTCCTAGACATGATGAAAACCTTGTTAAACTCTTATGGGATCATATTGTTATGCTGTTTTAGATAAGGATGCACATGTTACAATGAAATTTTTACGTGAATATATACTTTATTTTATATATTTATTTGTTAGTTCATGATTCTTCTGAAAGATGCTATATGGAAGTTAACAAATACATGTGTTATGAGTGACTTCTTTATTAGTATAACTAGAAAAAGTCATGCACATAAGGTGAGTGTAGCAGAATGTGTAGCCACACTGAGGGAAATTATGCAAGAAGAGTGGGGACTGGGGAGTAAATAAAGGGTGAGTGAACACTGCTTGAGATGGTCTTTTCATTTCTCAATTTCTCACATATACCTTTTGGTTGCGCTGTTAGAGGCAGAGATTTTTTTCACAAGGGGACATTCAGAGAAGTAGGGTAGGTGAAGATTGATATGGGAGGAAGCAGTGGAGAAAGATAGAGTTGCAGGATATAGCAAACAGTTGGCCTTGAAACATGCTATCTATGTTCCCTAAACCTAGAGACCATACCTTAACGTACACTACAAGGATGATGCATTCTGTTGATAGGAGAGCAAATAGTTGTCACCCCAAACTGCAAATAAAAGAAAACCCCTCTGAATTAGGCCCTAGGAGATTGTTTGAGGCCATATAATGAACGCACGGGACAAACACTTTGGAGGCCTTCTTCCAAACAACAAACCTTGATGACAGCGTATCTGTATGTATCTTCTGAAGAAAGAAGAAGTTGCATTGAAAGACATTATTCATATCGAGCTGATCGTGAGGTTGGAGGTGAATAGGTAGAAAGATAAGCTGTGTTCTCTTGTTGACTTTCCTTACTGTGTACTGATTTTCATATTTACCAATAAGGTCAAATTGGAATCCTCATGACATTGTAATTGTATTTGAAGGATCAATTGCATACAGGTTCTTGTTAGGCATATGGAAGCAGAAAGTCAAGTAGACAATACAGTTCTGCAGTTTTCTTATATTACTTTTTTACCAGACTCAACTGTTACCTCTGAATTTTGCACATATTCCTATGATTTAATTCATACTCTATTTTTCTTGAAAAACAGGAAATACAACATTCTGCTTCTACATCTGTCAGAATAAAATAAACAATATATAATTGATCCATAGTATGTCAACATACGTTCTAGAGTCAATAGGGATGGTTCTTGGTGGACCTCTATGATTTGTATGGAGAAATTTTCTAAGCCATGCATAAGAAAACTCTGGCTTTGGCTTTAATAAACATATTATATTTTGTGTATTTGACATAGTTATATTTCCCTTTCCGTTCTTCTATTTGCTTTTCTTTTAAACTTTGTGGGATTGATCTTCCAGGTGATTGCTCACCTACTGAAGCCTCGTGGGTGGAAGCCTCCTGTTCGTCGACAATTTTTTCTGGATTGCAATGAGATAGCTGATCTTTGTGATAGTTCTGAAAGAATATTTTCAAGTGAACCTAGTGTTCTACAACTAAGAGCACCTATAAAGATATTTGGTGATTTACATGGGCAATTTGGAGACCTCATGCGACTTTTTGATGAATATGGTTCCCCATCAACGGCTGGAGACATAGCGTAGGTGTTGTTTATTTATTTATTTTATTCACACTTGCTCTTTCCTGCATTTATGTCCAAAACTCTCTACTTGACCAACTTGCGAGACATTCTTATTTCTTTATACTGCCAAATCACTTCATTTTATTTTTATTTATTTTAGTAAATAAGGGTGTGTTTGGTACGTTGGACAGGGTGAGACAGGACAGGACAGAACACAATTGTCCTATGTTTGGTGTGGCCTTGTGAACTCACTAGAACTAGCTAGAACACGGGTGGGACAAGCCTGTCCACCCTTACCCCCCTGGAACTAAGTGGAACAAGAAATATTTTACCTATCTACCCTCTCAAAACCCTTCTTCGCTTCCACCGTATACTTCACGAATCGTTCCCCTTCAATCGGCGGTATCGATTGCAAGCGTCACCCTTCTTCCCCTTCAATCGGCGGTATCGATTTTGTCACTGGATTTCACACGATTTTGCTATTTCTATCGATTTTGCTGTTTTCGATCGGCGGTATCGATTGCAAGCGTCACCCTTCTTCCCCTTTAATCGGCGGTATCGATTTTGTCACTGGATTTCACACGATTTTGCTGTTTCTATCGATTTTGCTGTTTTCAATCGGCGGTATCGATTGCAAGCGTCACCCTTCTTCCCCTTCAATCGGCAGTATCGATTTTGTCACTAGATTTCACACGATTTTGCTGTTTCTATCGATTTTGCTATTTTCAATCGGCGGTATCGATTTTGCTGTTTCTATCAATTTTGCTGTGATGATTGCATTTTGTTTGTTGTTTTGTATTGATTTTGCCACTGGATATCAATCTATTTTGCTGTTTCTATCGATTTTGCTGTGACGATTGCAGTTTGTTTGCTATTTTGTATCGATTTTGCCACTGGACTGTAAAATTGATTGAAGTTGAAGTTTTTAGGGTTTAGAATCCGATGTCGTCTTCTCAAGTGGGTTTAGGAGTATGGTAGATTAATTTGACCATGGTGGTTAGAATTCTGGGATTGACTCACTGGGGGTAAATTGGTCATTTTAACCCGTTCTGTCCAGTCCTATCATGTCTTACCAAATGCTGAACAACTATCCTGTCCTGTTCTGTCCTGTCCTGTCCCGTTCTGTCTGCGTACCAAACGCACCCTAAGGGTTAATTCGTTACAATAATTTCTCTGGCAATGTCTCCTTGTTGTCTTAAGCCTGTAAGCACTATTGTATAACCTTGTAAATTTGAAAGTTGAAGAACAATCCAATGAAGTCGGGATATATGCTGGAACCTATGGTCCCAGAAATTTATTGGTGTCATCTTGACTTACATAGGACCAGGTGCTGGGCTTCTAAATAAGAACAGGTTTACACAGGCTAACTATCAAATATAAGGTTTCATTAATATTTGTCAAAACAATGATCACCAGGATGGAACAATTGTTTCTTTGAACTCCTAAAGATGTCAATGATGCATATATTAATTGCATTGTAACTTGTAAGAAATGCAAATTTGATGGGAGTTGACTATGGATCCAATGATGTTACATGCCATACTCGGTAACAACATCCAATAATCATTTCATCCAATTTGGAGAATTTCAGATATTCAGAGGAACTATACGATACTTGTATGCATGGTAAATAACATTATTTTCATGTTCTTCTTTGGAGTCTCAAAAATGCAGAATAGTATGGCCTTTTGAAGTCCTATACGTAGTAGCACAAAACTCTTTTTTCTTTCCAATTTTTTGCCACTAGATTTCTAGTACAGCCGTACGGATAGGTATATAAAACCAATATTGATAATTTTCTCAACACTTCGTTGTCAAAGTTTTTCACAGGAAATGCATTTATTTAGTTCTGTCCATGCGACAACACTTACAAATTAATGTCATTTGTTGCTCTACGTCTTCCCTGCTGCATATACATATTGTGTCAAAAATGTAATTACATTTCTATTATCACATATCTAAATGATAATTCGTTTTCCTGTTAATATCCTTCATCGATGAAAAGTATTTAGGCAACGTGATTGGCATTTGCCCTACCTTATGTTTGGTTATACATAACCTACTTGAATAAGCATTACCTGTGTGCTCTTTTAGTTTTATACGAGTTTATTTGAACTGCATATATTTGCAAGAAAAAGGGGAGAAGGTTATGCTGCAAAAGTAGAATAATTGTTGATGTTTCTTAAAAATGTGAGACGGGTTCTAAAACTGGAGAGTTCTCTAAAGGTTCTATGTCGGTGATCATTTCCATTGTTTAATTATTCCCAGTTACTTACCAGATTCTCTTACGTATCTTATGATGCTAATTTATGCATTATCAGATATATCGATTATCTCTTCTTGGGAGATTATGTTGATCGAGGTCAACACAGCTTGGAAACTATTAGTCTTCTGTTAGCTTTAAAGGTACTACATGTGTCTCACTGTTGTGTGGAAGATTTACAATTTTCTGTTATTGATTCAAGAAGCATGATTGTGTGTTGTGATTGGCTGAATATTGTTAGGTTGAGCATCCACAAAATGTACATTTGATTCGTGGTAATCATGAGGCTGCTGATATAAATGCATTATTTGGCTTTCGGATTGAATGCATAGAGCGCATGGTAATACTAGTGTTGGTTTCTTAACAATATTCTTATTTCAACATTGTTTATTTTCAGTAGTAACTAATTTCATGATATATGATACACAGGGGGAGAGAGATGGAATCTGGGCATGGCACCGAATAAACAGATTATTCAACTGGTTACCACTGGCAGCTCTGATAGAGAAAAAGATCCTTTGTATGCATGGTGGTATTGGAAGGTCGATTGATCATGTCGAGCAGATTGAAAATCTTCAGAGGCCAATTTCAATGGAAGCTGGTTCAATTGTTCTTATGGATTTGTTGTGGTTGGTGCTTTTCTGGTCCATTCATTGTTCAACTAAAGTTCAAATCTGAATTTTCACAAAGTCCAATAATTTTTTTCCTGAGCAGGTCTGACCCAACAGAAAATGACAGTGTGGAAGGACTACGACCAAATGCTAGAGGTCCTGGGTTAGTTACTTTTGGGGTGAGTATTACTCCTTTTATATTACCTTGAATGAGAAGCTGCTTGTATTTACTGTTTATGATAATCGTGTATCTATGCAACTATAATGCCATTCTTTTGAACATAGCTATAAGCAGGTGATCCCTGGTGGTTACAATGTAAATGTAACAGGCCTCCCCTTTTTCGGGCTTAAACTTATTCAGCGAGTGTCATCTTAAATTTCTTAATCCCAAGCATAGCTATACGAAAGCAGGTGATCCCTGGTGGTTATAAATGTAAATGTAACAGGCCAATTTATTTTAAAAGGTGATGGTGGATGACTTGATGTTTGCTGGAGCAGGGTGAGGGATTCTTCCTAGATAAATATCAAACGAATGAGTGCTATCAAAGAAAATACACGCCAACTTATATAAGTAGCCCATCTATTCCTATAGCAGAAATTCCTTGAGGCATACCTTCAGAAAATTTCCCTTGATTAATTGGGTGGATCAAGAAACCATAGTTGTTAACTTGGTTTTAAAAAGCGCGATGCGGTCCGAGGCGGTAAGGGTCCCGGAAGCCGATGCGTGATGCGCCCGGTATTCAAAAAATACTTATAAATTAATTCTACATATCATATTCTACCTTAAAAATACTTGCCTATCAAAATACTTCATTTATAACATAAAGTAGTTAAAAAGTGGAATTAGAATCTTAAAAAGTTCGTGAATCGGAATAACAGAACACACAACCTACTACCATGAAGAACACAAGTAAATGTCTAATAGTCCCCAATCCCTAAATTAAATGACCAAGTGACCAACTAATACTCCCCAAGATCAACATCATCAAACCCCAAAGCGGGTTCATCTCCCTCATCATTATCAAACCCTCCAATATCTGCTTCCACCTCAACTTCATCATCTTCATTTAGAAGAGCATGTCCTTTTCCTCTAGCACTTCTAGTTCTTGATGGACCCGACCCATCATCATTTACTCTCCCTCTTGATGCTCTAGTGAAATGAGGAGTCTCATACCCCCCGGAAGCTCTACCTACGTTATCCCACATAAGATCATCATCAATAAACACCAACTCATCATCTTCATCATCATTGTCCATCCTCCCCATCAACCACTCATTACTTTCATCTATGTCTTCTAGAATGATAGGAACATTACAGGATGCGCTGATGCACACATCGTGTGATGCATAGGTGATGCGACCGCATCAGAGAGCATCATGGAATCGCTTCGCATCAGCCCCTCTGATGCGTTACCTCCAGCGCATCGGAGCGCATCAGGCATCGGAGCGCATCAGGCATCGGAGCACATCACGCATCGGAGCTCATTATGCGCGCATTTTTAAACCAAGGTTGTTAAATGCGTGCCTAGGCTCTGAGGCTCATAAGGCTCAAGGTCTTGGGCTTTTCTAAAATTGAGGCTAGGCATATTCACAAGGCTTACTAAGGCGTTGCGCCTTGGCTTAGGCGCCTTATGGGCCTACGCGCCTTATGGGCCTACGCGCCTTATGGGCCTACGCGCCTTATGGGCCTACGCGCCTTATGGGCCTACGCGCCATACCTAGTCAAACCCTAATATTTAAATAAGTTTTCCCATCTTCTCATCTCCTAGACTTTCTTTAGTGAAGAGTTATTAAATAGATGACATAAGTCAAACCCTAATATTAAATACCCGGTCCTTAGAACTGCAAGCCTCTTTCTCTATAGATATCCAAACCTAGCACTTCCATTCATGGCTCAGGCTTTAAACCCTTCTCCCTTCTGCCTCTATCGAAGATTCGAAGTACCACTGGTTGCTGCATGGAGGTTTGTAGTTGCTGCATATTTGAGCTTTTGTGTGTGTGTGTGTGTGTGTGTGTATATTGATAAGACGCACCTCCCATTCCTGAGTCCCGAGCCTCATGCCTGCGCCTCGTGCCTAGGCTCCGGGTCCACTTTGCGCCTTGAGCCTTTAACAAACAACAGTAGCAAAACCAATAAAGATGTCATTTTTCATTCATACAAGGAGTTGAATACCCCATTAAAGAATTGTTTTGGATCCGATTCATAGGACCCTCCTGTATGGTGGGACATGGTCTATGCAGCTGCTTTTTGTTTGTTGATGGTTTTATTTAGTCGAAGTTCTTGCTTTAGGAAGCGTGCTTTGGAGATTCATTACCCTCTTAAATCACAATGCTCTTGTTTTACATTAAAAGCCAGACTCTAGTTTCTTGGGTTTCTGGTGTTCTCTGGTATAATCTACTATACTTGAGTTTAGCGAAATTAAAAGTATGCCTTTATAGGAAATGCTTGGTGGATAACAGGAGCCTGCACTGAAGTAAATCTTCTTGCTGAAGTGCATGATGTGACAATCTAGCAAAAGGTGGGAAGATATTTGGGGATTTTTTGGTTAGAAATAGCATGAGTACAAGTTCGACTTTAATCTAACACTTGAATAATATATCTGTCATCAGCTATGGCTTCACATGCTTCCCCAGTGGTTTAATGAATGGTGCTGATGAGAGGGTGAAGGCCGTTATACGTGGTAAATTGCTAGCGGAGAAATGATTGATATGTTAGACTTCTTGTATTTAGTGGTTTGCAGAAGTGTAGTACCATTGAGATTAGGACTTAAGTTAGGATTGATACGCAAGGGATTCTGATTAATCAGATAAGGAAATCAATAAAGATGGTAAAAGAATGTAGGAAATCGGGGAGGTGGATGAAGTTGAAGCCAAATTATGACAAGGAAAGTGAATCTAGACATGCTTATCTTGAAAACCTAATCAGGTATTGGGATTCCAATTATAATTGGTTCCATATTAGAAGAGATTTATAGTGCATCAAAAATATTAACAAATAAATTATCCACTCCTATAGTTTTCTTCACAATGATTCTGATGGAGAGATGAAAATAAGATGGGACTCCATTTTCTTCACAGAAAGGATCTGTTGTTAAGAGTAGTAAATTACTGTTCTAGTTGATAGCTTTTAATCAACCACAGCCATATGCTTTGATCCACATTGAATATAACTATCTAGTTTACTGCTTTAGGCACCAGGCCTATGGCTTTCAACCCACAGAGAGTCGATATCAACCAATGGGTAATCAATAACATGATATGAGCCTCTTTTCTGCGTACAATGATACAACGTATTCATATGCTGGAGGCCTTCAATCTTGATATGTTTGAACTTGACAAGTGTGCCATGGCCCATGGGACATTGACTGTATGAACATGACTCATGTCTTAGGTTGTCTCTTATGATTAAAATGACCAATCTGTATGCATGTTGCAGTTTTGATAACCCGTCTTTTGTTGTCATTCAGCTTTCTTCCTGATTAGGTATAGATAAACTGGCTGTGCCATGCTGTAGCAATTTGCTGCTGACACATGAGAATGCCAAGCTGGTAAAGTAAGATTCAACCTGAAAATCAGTTTTCTATCTTCTTGTTTCGACTCAAATCACATGGTCTTTGAAATCCAATATTCCAAATAAGTATCTTCAAATAAAATTAAGAAACATACAAGTCTCAAAAAAATATATGTTACTTATGATGGTGGATACATTTTAACCACTCTACTACCCTCTCTATCAAGTGCTATATTTATAATGGCAGTGATTTTGCTGCTTCGGTGAGGGAACTTTGGCCAATCTGTGAGACTGAGATGATAATCTGATGCTTTTGCCTAGTAATTCTTGAGAGAGATATAGGTTGGGACTTCTGTCAGAAGGTAGATTTTATATCCTGTTCATCTGGTTTAATGAGTTGATATCATTACTGGTAACCTCAAAAGGATATTGTGGATATTTTTCAGATGCAATCTTATCTGTTGACTTTAGTTCTTACAATTATGAGGAATGCAATGGTTATTTCCTGAAATACAGGTATACAATAGAGGATTCCTTGGAAGGGCTTGCACATCTCTAAGGTGCTTTTTGGTTGGTGTTTCATCAAGTCCTATATGGATAAAGCTGTCTGTGTGGATTAATCTGTCTGTATAGATAGGGAAGGTTTTTTATTTGGGAGAGTTTTTTCATAGATGAAAAAAACGTGGTTTTTAATTGGGAGGGGCAGGTTTAGAAAAACTTGGCTTTCTGCATAAAGCTCCCCCTAGAAGCATACTCTGGAACCCACTTTCTATAATATTAAGCTACTACCAAACAATCATGTATAGCTGACCGAATGGGCTGTGAGTCTCATTAAGCTCATAAGCCACTAACAAACAGGCCCTAATTCTAATGCGCAACATCCTGTTATTTGGTTTGATGGGTCAGTATTGTAAGCTATTGCTGTGTTGTGGAGGACTTTGTGGACTTTTGTGCCGCACGCTCTGTTTTTAAGCTTCTGAGTTTGCTTTGTTCTATGCTTTTAATCTTTTGTTGTTGGATTAATCGTTTTTTATAAGCAAAGATGAATATCAAATTTATTCCTTTTTTATGTGTGATAGGGGTGAGCCTTGGAGCAATTAGCAAGGTTACTCCTTTGCGAGGGGAAGGTCAGGGACACGAAGACTTCCCTCCCCAACCCTCGCAAATTCCAAGGAGCCTTGGTGCGTAAGGGTCACCCTTTTTCCTTGTTCTTTGCGGTTTTCCCTTGTCAGAACTTCAAGAAGCACGTTTAAGCTTTATTTCTCACTAGCCTAGCCTATGCCTGCAGCCTGATCGTGTGATGGAGTTTTGCAACAACAATGATCTCCAACTGATTGTACGAGCCCATGAATGCGTAATGGATGGTTTTGAGCGTTTTGCCCAGGGACATTTGATTACCCTTTTCTCTGCCACCAATTATTGTGGTAAGTCACTGGCTCTACATCCTGGTTTTGCTTGTTCTAGTGTGCCCTTATTAGAGATGATTACTTGTATTCTCTCGTCCAATGGGCCTATAGTAGAACCAACTGTTTATTTGCGGGCTTGATAACCTGCCTATAAATGGGCTGGACTTGCCCACGGGCTAATGGCCCTTATGATGCATATTTATTTTATCTGGGGTTTGTGCTGTAGGGACTGCAAATAATGCTGGTGCTATATTAGTCCTCGGCAGAGATCTTGTAGTGGTTCCGAAACTAATTCATCCATTGCCGCCTGCAATTTCATCACCTGAAATGTCCCCTGAACGCCATATAGAAGATACATGGATGCAGGTTCTACTACTACCACAACTTTTGCTCCCTCCGTCCCAAAATAAGTAAATGAACCATAGTTTAATAAATTCGTAATTATCACACTATTTAATTAAATGAAAGACAATTTTACTCTTAATGATATAGACAAACCTTCCCTATCATCAACTCTTAAATATTTGTGTCTCATAATTAAGGTTAGAGTTGGAAATTTAGTAAACTGTAACTATCTAGTGGACACTTATTTTGGGAAGGTGGGAGTATTTGTATCCCCACTTGGTAATATTTTACACATCTTGTGATGTAATTGGTGTTAACATCTTGTGGGGTGTAGGAGCTTAATGCTAACAGACCAGCAACACCAACCAGGGGCCGCCCACAAGTTTCTGATGATCGTGGCTCGCTTGCGTGGATATAGCGAAGGTCATATTTCCGCTGTCCTAATCTTGATCTGGGATGTTATGGTATGACTTGAATCACTAATGAGACCCCAATTGCGCAATCTACACACACCCTACGTGATTAGTGGAACGTTCCAAGTCCAACCCTGAGACCACAAAACAAACCACATGAAAGTCGGCCTCGGCCTTGTTACGAGTGGTGACAATTTGTACATGGAGGTAATTTTCGTTTTCGCTATAATTGTTCATTGATGAGGTGTATCATTGGTTTTTGTCTGGTAAAAATAGGAAGAGAAACCCCATACAAGTGATTGACGAGAGATGTATAAGAGGTGTTTGTATCATAGAAGCTAGGCAGGCAGGCAATAGTGGTACTGGTTGATTGCCTTGAGTGTTCTTTCTTTGCCATGTACACTACAATGTAACATTTATGTGCAGCAGATAAAAGCTCTCCTTCATTCCTTCCTGGTTATTTAGCAGAATAACTTGCTTTTTGACAGATCTTTTCACAGTTTCAAGAATGCCTGTTAGAAGCAATTGTTCTCCTAAATAACAGTAACATGTTCAAATCGCTAGCTAGCCTTTCTGCAGCCCATTGTGGCCTTTGAGATAGATGGTTTCAATGATTCGAAACTTATTACTAAGAGGGTGTGTTGTTCGAAAGTAGGGTATGGTATGGATCGTAAAGGAAAATTGGATTGGTATGTACTATCGATATGTGTTTAAAACAGGACTCGACTGAACCCTTGTCAGGCTACTGTTCTCTTCTTCCCTCAAAGTTATGGTAAATGTGTAGAGAAAATAACTTGAACGTCTCTTCTATATATTTTAATAATGCAATGGAACAATCGTAGAAAAAAAAGCACCATTAAAAGAATGCAAGGTTTTCATGCCTCTACTACTCTGACTTTAACAATTGTGATTGGTTCTTGGTCAATATTATCGTCCATCTCTGTTATTCAAACCCTACTTAAGAAATAACAATATATGATATATCTACCATTTAATGTTACCGTCAAATTAAGCACAATTCAGAGAGAGAGAGAGAGAGAGAGACTTGGGGATCATAATTGAAACCATACTGTTTTTGAGAGACATGTAAGACCACCTTTTTACCTTCACAATGTTTTAATGTGAAGTTTTAAGTGAAAATATGGTCTCACGAAAACACACTGGTTCACGTGAACCTAACGCTATATATATATATATATATATATATATATATATATATATATATACCATTCAGGGGGTATGGCGGATTTTTTGGGTTTTCGTTAAACCACTAAAATAGGAAATAAATCAAAAAGAAGAAGAAGACTTACAGAGAGTTTTGAGCGGAAGCAGAATTAGAAGCACCAGAGT